TAAGAAGTCTTTAAGACATCTTTAACCTATAAAAAGTCACCTAGAAATACTTATCAGTCAGATATCTTTTTCAAATTATCTTTAAGAAAAAAAAGGATATATTTTAGACGTCGTTCAAAGATTGGTGCTGGACGGTTATGATTATAAGAAATTCTAAATGTGAATATTGTAAGCGCTATTTAAGCTAAACACCATAACCTATTTTTCTTTAGAAGTTGGCTATATTCCAGTTTAAAAGAGCATATGTGAAAAAGTACTCTTGACTTTTTATTTTTTTTTCTATTTTACTAAGATTTTTTTATTTGAATTTCAAGCCAGCTGTTTCCATATTCCATACACCGTTATCGCGAACCGTATAGAATCGGCCGAGTACAATGCCTACCTGACATTTTATCTTTTCTTTTTACAAACGAACAGCTGATCGGCTTTTTAACTTTTTAAAAGAGATCACTTGGGCCAAAATTAGCGCTAAGCGGTGAAGAGAATTGATTATTGTTGGATAATCAGTCTAAGGTCACTTAAAGCGTTATCTATGCTCCAACCAGCTCCTTAAAGTAACTAGTATACAATTTTTTTTTTTTTTTTATTTAGACATACAATATTCTGTCACAGGGACAATAATTATATTGATAAATGAACACATTCACACCGTATATACAAAAAAAAAAAAAAAATTAGCCACATACACTCATGTCTTGAGTGGAGAATCTGGCCAGTGCCAGAACTCCAAAATAAATACTATAAAAGATCTCTAGGCCACTGCCGCTTCAATCTTCGAGGAGGGTTGTAGGGATGAGTGGAACTAGATAGGGATTGGGCTAGGGGATTTGGATGATTGATAAGGTTCTGATGGAATTTTGAAAATTTGTCAGAGATAAGGTCAAGGACAAATGGGATATTAAGGTCATGATGTAGGGTTTTGTTGGTTACATAGAAAGGAGCATTGGCTATTGTTCGAAGGACTTTTGATTGGAAGGATTGGATGCTTTTGATGTTAGAGAACTTTGCTGTCCCCCAAAGTTCAAGTCCGTAGCCAAATGGGTTTCAGGATTGTCTTGTAGAACAGTAATTTTTTGTCAATTGAAAGTTGAGATTTTCTGGTCAGTAGTCTGTATAATTAGCCGTATCGTCGGTTAAGTTCTTGTCTTTTAAGTCTAGTATGTGGGTTCCACGTTAGTCTTCGGTCTAAGATAAAGCCAAGATACCGGACTGTGTCTCAAAAAGGAAGCTGGATGGAATTAAAGTGGACTGATGGACAGGATCTGCGGCGGAGTGTGAAGGTAATGTGTTTGCATTTGGATTCGTTTACTTTGATGCGCCATTTATTACACCAGTGCTCAATCATGGAGAGGTGCCTTTGAAGATTTAAAGATGCTGTTTCTGGATCTGAGTCGGATGATAGGATGGTGGTGTCATCAGCAAATGTTGCAAGGAAGGTATTGGGATGGACAGGGATATCGGCGGTAAAAGGGATATAAAGGACGGGGCCCAAGACGCTACCTTGAGGAACACCGGCTTCAACTGGGTAGGAGTCGGAAAATTCTGAACCACAGCGAACCCGAAAGGTACGATCAGAGAGGTAGTAGCGGAGGATTAGGTACAAGGACTGAGGTAGATAGGTTAGTATAAAATAATAATAATAATAATAATAAGGCTTAGCGAACCCGAAGGTTCGATGCCGACACCACCAATCGCTTGTTACACACCTCCCTCCACCGTTCGCCGTCCAAACCCAGTCCCTTCAGATCGGCTTTAATGCAATCTTCCCACCTTCGCTTCGGTCTACCCCTCGGACGCTTACCATTCGGCACAGCAAATATTAACCTTTTAGGAATTCTCTCGTTACTAAGCCCAACAACTTTACAAGCCCATTTGATTCGCCGCGATGAAATTACCTCAATTATATTACCCGGATACATCTCACGCAGTTCGGCGTTGTGTAACCGTCTGAACTCTCCGGTTAACTCATCCTTCTTCGGTCCGAATATTCTACGCAATACTTTATTTTCAAAAACCTTAAGACGCTGCTCATCCCTTAATGTAAGCGGCCAAGTTTCGCATCCATAAAGAACTGTAGGCAAGATAATTGTTTTATAGATTCTAATTTTTAAGTTTCGGGACAAGAGGCGCAAACTAAGTAGTTTTGTCACAGAAAAATAACAAGCATTCCCCGCCTTCAGTCTAACCTTAATCTCTTCTTCAATTTCGTTTTTTCTAGTTATCGTAGAACCTAGATACCTAAATTTATCTACCTGTTCAAACATATTACCATCTATATCGATATCACCAGTAGTATCGCCATTTTTGCAGCTAACCATATATTTTGTTTTATCCACGTTTATTTCGAGTCCTAGTTCTTTACCGGCTTTCATTAACGTTTTCGTATTTAGTTTTATAGTTTCAACGTCTTCGCTTAACAGTACCAGATCATCAGCATAGCCCAGCACGGATGTTGTCCCGCCCAGATCCAACCCTTTCTCGGTTCGCATTACCTCCCTAATGGCATGTTCTAATGCCAAATTGAACAGGACAGGCGAAAGAGAATCCCCCTGTTTTAAGCCCGAACGAACCTCAAATTTTTCGGACAAATTATTACCGATTCTAACTTTATTGAGTGTCTCCGTCAAGCACATCCTGACTAGATTTACTAGTTTTTTTGGAATCCCCTGCTCGATTAGAATATTATACAGTTTCTGGCGGTCAATAGAATCGTAAGCCTTTTTAAAATCTATATACAGCTGGTGAACAATACCGTTATACTCCAATTTTTTCTCTAATATTTGCCGTAAAGAAAATATTTGATCAATAGTCGAACGATTCCGTCTAAATCCGCATTGGTAGTCTCCGATAATTTCCTCGGCGTATTCCGTGATTCGAAGTATAAAATAACATTTTTTTTTTATCTTTCATTAATAGATAATAAATATATATAAAGAATAAATATTTTAAAAATTAGATAATAACGTAATTTCTTATACAAGGAGTTTCAGGGTTAAGTGGCCAAACTGAAAATATGAACTAAAGACCTCAAAAAAAGAAAAAAAATTCCTTTGAAGATATGTCCGCAAACGCTTGGTTTAGGAGATATTCATACCTAAAGATTTCCGTTTTTATAAATTATTTACTTTATATGAAATAAATAAAACCTATTTATTTGTTCTAACTACTCTATTATTTAAATGTAAACATTAAATTCATATGAAATGTTGTTCAAAGTGATTTTTTTGAGCATTAAGACAGGCTCGGCATCTTTCTTCAACAGCAGCAGTGGCAGAACGGCGTTGGATATGAACCTTCAGCATAGAAAGTCTGTACCTTACCCACTGAGCTAACCCACTACCCTAGAAATTAAATAATTAACATAATTAAAAATTACAATATATTATCACTTATCATTTTTCAGTTCGTGACTTGGACGAATGGACTCCTAATGACAAACAGAATATCTGGGAGTTGAGTGGTCTATTTGAAGGAGACATTATTGTTGACGAATCCAGAAACGCTTTGCGAGACACTTCAGCAAAATGGTCAGGAGGCGTTGTTCCCTACCATATAAGCGATGATTTCGGTTAGTTCAAATAATTTACACATTTATTAATTTAATTCTTCATTTGATACCATGTGTATATAAATATATATTAATTTTAATTACAAATTATTTGCTTAGTGACATACATAGTTTTCCTTGAGAACTGGCTGATTAAGTCTTATGAAAGAATTTTTTAATGTGTAAGAAAAGTATGTTTAATTTAATATATATCCAATACTAAATTATATACATAACCTAACACAAAAGATATTTTATTTTTATTAGTTACTGTATAAATTAAAATTATATTAAATTTCAATTTTATTTCTACATCAAATTTTAAAAATTAAAAATATTGATCTTTTGATCAAGTTAAAGTATATATTGTTTGAAGAAATGCTTAAAGTTATATTAAAACAGTTTAAGTTGCTAATGCTTGAACATATTAAGTACTAAATGAAGATAACAACAATTTTATAAATATTATCTAGTTATGGTCCTAAAATTATACATATTATGAATTAAAGTAATAAGAATGGATTAGAATATAATCGGAAAGCAAACTTTGTTCTACCAATGAATGATTATTTAAAAATAATGATTTTTTATGAATAATTGTTTCAAGTTTTTTATTAAAATTAATTATATAATTATAGAGATATAATAAATTTAATAAAATGATATACTCCTAAATTATATGATAATTACTTATAAATTTATTTTCAAATTATACTAAATGGCAACAAAATAAAATAATTGTACATTACCCAAATTATAAATATGTTGTATGCTAGTGAAGAAAATATAAAGCAAGTGAAATTATGACAAATTAAATTAATTATCAGATTAACTAAAATATGAAAGATATATGAAATACACAAATATTTTAAATAATTAGATAATTATAGATTAAAAAAATTAAAATATAGGAAAATGAAATTGTGATATATTAAATTAATTAATGTATTAATTAAAATATAAAACCTATAAGGAATAACAAAAACATTACAATCATTCATAAATTTCTTGATTTAATTTTTTTAATTAAACTGATAACTTGTTTCAACATTGTATTTCAGACCAGTTGATTATTTATAATATAATTTTCATGATTGATTTTAATTTTTTTTTATTTTAAATTTTAAATTAGTTTGATCTATTTTGTTTTTATTTTGACTCAGTAGAATTTATTCATTTTCATTAGTTTTATTGGGTTATTATTAAATCTTATTATGATTTTAAATACACTTATTTGATGGTAAAATTATTTTTGAATATTGAAATATATTTATTCAATTAGTGGATTATTGAATTAAAAATTTCAAAATGAAGAATTCTTCAAATCAGCTAAAATACTAGGGGGAGGAATCAATATAAAAAATATATATATGTATAAGTAAAAGGGAAAGAAGATTGTAGAAAAATGAAAATATTTAATGAAGGGAAGAAGTTCATAATTCAACTGTTCCAGATGAAGAAGAAGCAAACGTAATAAAGGGAGCAATGGAAGAGTTTCACGAAAACTCGTGCATTAAATTTGTTCCATACAAAACTGGAGACTCCGACTGGATTTCCATTCAAGGAGATTCTCCAGGTTGTTGGTCTTACGTCGGAAGAAGAGGAGGAGGTCAGGTTGTAAATCTTGGAAGACGATGCGTACAGCACGGAGTAGCTGCTCATGAACTGTTACATGCGCTCGGATTCCATCATCAGCAGAGTGCATCTGATAGGGACAAATACGTCACTATTCACTGGAAGAACATTCGAAGAGGTAGGAAAAAAATACCTTTAAAAGTATAATTTGAATAGTTTCATAATTCTTGATGAAACAATAATAATGAAATGAGCTTAAAAAAATTACACAGCATAGTTATAAATACTATACATCAGCAAGATGGATGAAAAAACATAAAATTAAAATTTGTTTCTTAATTTTCTCAGGGGCTGAAAGAAATTTCAAGAGATATGGTCACGGAAGTATAACAGATTTAGGTGTTGGGTATGACTATGACAGTGTGATGCACTATAGCTCGCACGCTTTTACCAAAAATGGTAAACCTACCATTGTACCAAAAGTAAGTGAAAATTTGTTCAAACATTATAAATATAAATAATAATTCAGCCAGTTCTCAAGATTTGAAGAAGCAAAGCCAATTATTTAATTCATTATCATTCAAAAACAATTTAAACATTGCCATTTGAAATTTATAATCAGTACGAGTTAAATTGCTTTTTTTTTTCAATTCAAAATACCTGAGAAAAAATAGTAACAGTAAAATTACTAATCATATTTTTTGTAATACTAATTTAAATATTTAAGATGTTAGGATTATACTGTATTTGCCAATGTTCCAGTCTTACTTATAGGTTAAACATTAAACAGTATATTACATTTATTTTGGACCTCACTAAATGGATCCCATGAGTAAACTTAAACACAACTCTTTTTAAGAAGGCTTCTTAGGAAAAAATCTTTTTTGGGTACATAAAATATTATCTTTTTTTAATGGCAATGTTTCTATAATATTAATAAAGACAAACTAAAAGTATGATTTTTTTTGTCAGTAAAGAGGCAATATATATTTTTTTTGCTGTAAATAAATTGCATTATACGTGTAATTTTATTTTTATTAATAATTTATTACAATTAATGTTTACAGGAGGACGGCGCATCAATAGGTCAGAGGTTCAGAATGAGTGAAAAAGACATTGAAAAACTAAAAAAACTGTACAATTGTGCCGATAATAATAACTTTGAAACGCCTCGATCATTCGATTTCTGGGGTTTCCATTTCAGGTAGTGAGAGACACTACATAGCATGCATTCTTGTTATTGTTGTTGTTATATTGTTAATGTATATAGAAGTGAAATCTTGTTTTTGTTATTTAAGATTATAAGATTATTTATGTACCTCAAAACAAAAAAAAAAAAAAAATCCATTATAATTCAATAGCTGTATCAAACCATGAAACACCAGAAAAAAAAAAGACATTAAAAATAATAACATTATTTATTTCAAATGCAATGTACAGTAGTTGTTAAACAGAAAAATAAATATTTATATTTTCAAAAGAGGAAATATTACTGGACTTTAACCAAAATCTAAAAAGTACATAACAATTTTTCCGAAATTAGGTAAACAATTAAATCAACAAAGGTGCTCAATTTTTATTATTTTAATTAGAATTAATTAAAATTATAACTAAAGAATCAGTATTCAGTTCATATTTTCATCGAGGATTGAAGATTCCAGATCGTATAAAAGATTTGAGATTTTTTACCTTTTCTCAGGATGAAAAAAGATAATATAAGAAATTTTCACATGAGAAAATTAGCTCAAGTAAGAAAAACCAATGTCACTTTAGGGATGTAGTAGTGAGAAAAATAACCATTCTAATCCATTGCAGGATAATAACGAAACTGAATTGTTTCTATCATTAAATATAAAGGCTAAAGGTAAGGTTGACAAAAAAACAAAAACAAATATAAAATATATAAATGTATTTCCAGATATGAGGAAAATGCTCTGGTTACACAACTCAAAAGTTACGTTATAATTTTAAAATAATCAGTTTAGTAAAGTTTGTTTATAAATATAAGCTATTGCTTAACACCAGCTTCTTATACTAAACAAAAAAAAGTTGAAATAATGACTAAATACATTAAATTTTTCTTAGAATTAATCATTTCTCAACGATTATTAAGAAAAAATTACTATAAAATTTGTTTTATAATTTTATTCAATGATTGGAATTGCTTACAAAATATTTTATATTAAAAATAAGAAATACAAATAATTAATACATTGCTGCTATCAGTTCCATAATAAACATCCTCTGAATCTTTTGATGAATATGGCTGAGGATCACAAATAGATAACACAAGTTTCTAAACTCAATGCTAACTCTATCAATGGAATCCAGCAACGAAGGTCATCGGATTTCAGCACCCGAGAACACTGGATTTATCCTGAGTTTAGAAACAACCTGCTAGATTTCAGCCAAGGTCTATAAAACTACCTACATTCTACTGCTCTTGAATTCTAGAAGAAGATTATAAAAAATTATTAAAAAAAAGATTATAAAAAAAATTGGAAATATCTACCATTTGAATTGTTGAATTTAAAAATACAAATAAATAAATTTAGAAAGTAAACCTAATATAAATATATAAACTAAATCCAGCAGCAAATCTATCAACCCCAATAGCCAATGGAAATGCTGAGCCATCGATGTTCCGATCAATAAAGAGAGGCATTGATGAGTTTTGGAACATTCTGTTAGATTTGTAGTAGCTCCTCGATGAGCACAGCGTTAAGTTTAGAAACTTGCCCATACAAATCTTTCTTCTTATCTAAAATAAGATGGTATGAACGAGTATGTAAAAAAATTAAAACCATCAGTTTAAATCTGACTCTCTTCTAAGAGCTGATAATGGAAAACATCATCGGTAATCATGTTGCTAATCAATAAAAAAATTTCTTTCAATGCTCAAACTTCTTCTGCATTTAGATTGTTATTTTAGTTCCATTTCTTTTAGATAAGACGGATGATATAAATAAGGAACCAATTTAACTTCTACACACGAGTAATACCACAGAAAATTGAAAATTGTAATAAATTGATTTTTCAAATATTATTTTTTATTGTTTTGTAAATAATTGAAATGTGGAAACTCATAAGGATACAAGTACCACCTTATAGTTTTTTCATGTTTTAGCAAAGACGAAACTCCTGTCGATTTCTGGAAAGAAATAGATGATTTATTGAAACCAGAACTTTTCAACTTGTAATGTCTCAATGGAAACTTAAGACAAGATTGTGGGCTGCATTCTCATAATAACTTTATTTATTTTTAAAAATGAAATAGAGATACCACTATGTGATAAGATTCAGAACCATAGCATTTCAATAAAACCACTTAACAATCTCAATTTATTTCAATTTCATTGTAAAATTGAACACAAAAACTGAAATCATTGATATATTTAAAACGATTATTAAATAAAATTTAAATTCAGAGAGATGAATAAGGTTTATATTACAAATGTAAGCAAAAGGCAAGTTCCTAAACTCAGCGCTAATTCCATCGAATGATTGAATCTAGCAGCAATGAACAATATTACGTCGAATTTGGGAACAACCTGATGAATTCCATTGGCAGATTAACATTTCTGGAAGTCCAGAAGACACATGAAAAAAATATAGGATATATGCAAGGAAATACCAACCTACTGAATTGTTAAATTTCAAAAAATAAATAAATATATATAAAAAGTAAACAATATAAATATGTAAACTAAATTGAAAGTTGGGAACACATTCAAATCGACAGATCAATTGATCCCAAAAGATTATGGAACCATTGAGCTATCAATGAATAAAAGAATGATATAAATTTCATCAAAGATTTTCAGTTCCTCAATTTCTGAAATAATAATGTTTGCATAAGGAGGAAATTTAATTGTACATTATTTACTAAATTATCTTAACAAACTTATAATTATAGCTGGTGATAATTCTGCAATAAATAACCAAAATGAGATAAATTTATAACCATTTTCAATTTATAAATATAATTTTGAAATGTAAAATGTTTATTAATTTAATGATAGAAATATTTTTTTCAAAGTTCAGTTAAATAGCTGTTTTCCTTGATCAGTTTTCCTACATATAGATTTATGGAGTTCTCTTTGCAAGCATCTAAAATCACCTTAGCATTTTTAATTATTCTTAGAATTGTTTCTTATCTTCTTATCCCTTTGAGAAAAATACCAAGCATAACATTACTGGAGCTTAATGCACTAATATTACTATGGAAATACCGCAAAATTCCCGAAACATCAGAATCACATCAATAATATTTACATGGTATATATGGATCGATATCTATAAATAAATATTGGATGTAATAACGAATAATTGCTTACAATGACTATTAAAAAAGCAACAAGGAACACGTAAATCAACACTTAAGAAAACTACACAAAGAAATAAAAAATAAGAAAATATTTAAAATAGTTCTAGTCCATGGTATAGACCCTTTTTTTATCAACTAGTAGGCCTGTGCGAAAAATTCGCACAGCATATTATTAAATGCCAAATCAATAAGAAAATAGGAAAATGAAACTTATAAAAGATTAAGACATCAAATGTTACTAGGGAAAAGTGTGTAATTTTTCAGTTATTCGCAAATAAAGTTTATTTTCTTTCATAACTTGTTTGTCTGAATTTTCTGGGTGATTGGACTATTTTGCCAGCCTAAAGGAGAAGGAAGCCTTCGAAAATGGTGGCTCAATCTTGAGATTTGGTGAAAAATTTAGGATGATATGGCTTGCCGATCAAAAACACCATCGATGAATAATATAAATTCCTCCTCTCTCGATCATAGACCTCAAGTCGACGAAATGAGACATGTATTCAATGACAGTACTACAATTAATGTAAGGCTGTGTGGATGCGAACCCTATGCCTTGCGTTATCTCGAAAACAGTACGTTTTTCAGCTTGAAAACGCAGGAACCGATAGTTCCGAGGGAACTATTTGGGTCTTGCTGTACGCATCAAAATCTTTAATATCCATTTGTCCCGTATCGATTTACAGAACTACCTCCATTGCAGTATTGAAGCCTAGCAAAATGTTTGTATCGGCTTTATTTATTTTAGACAGAAAAACAAAAGTGGAGAATAGGATTCGCTAGCCCCCCCGTGAAATTCTGAATCCAACGGTACCCCATTCGTGGTATTTGAGCATGACAGGAGCTTATATTTGGTACAAAACCGATTTCGAGCCTTACTGTAATAATATATGCACGGATACTTCGAAAATGGTTTCATTTTATCATAACCTAAAACTTCGTTATTTAAAAAAATTATCGGTTTTCAATCTGGAGATATGCAAACTTTATCTATTAAATTAGGTTCTAAATAATAAAAATAATTATGTATTTATATTGATGAATATTTTATAAATATTTATTAAGGATATTATAATTAAAACTGGTTATAAAATGATTCCGTAAAATAGCTTCTTATATACACTTACGTCTTAACTCGAATCATCAAGTCTCTCAGACCGGTAGAAAAAGGGTTTTAACCAGGTTGTTTCTATATTTCACTAATATTGTTACAGGACGTCACTAAGATTGTACACTCACACATACAAAAAAAAATTAAAGAATATTTAATTTCAATTACATAAGAGTATTACAAAATAACAAGATCTGCCACAGATAAAGAAAAGGTTGAAAATAAACATACAGGGTTGCCCAGAAGGAGGTTTCATGGTGCAAGTTGGGCCATAAACATTTTTGAAGGGGGGCATAATTTGACCGTTTTTTTGAGGGAGCACATTTTGACAGAGTTATGAATTTTCGGAATGGAAAGTTTCATTCTAAGGGACAAGGAGAAAATATGGAACAGACAGTAGTAAATATAATTGTGAATGATCTACGATTATTCTAATTCTACCTTCGCTTGCTCTGTTTTTAAGAAAATATCTTGGGAATGAGGAGAATAGGTTCTTGCGCCATTAACGTTGTGGGCGATAGGCACCCCTACAAACATAAGTATAATAGACAATAATTAACAGTATTATACATTTAATCATTTAAAAGTTAAGAACCAGGAGACAATTACTGGTTAGGTAAGAGATCCATAACAATGGCTCGATGTTAATTATCTCAATCAATGGATTGGCCGTGCAGGACCAGTGGCTTGGCCTGCATGCTCTCCAGACCTGACACCACTGTTTTTTTTTTGTTTGGAATGACATTAAACAAAAATTCCATGCAAGTCCGGTC